AAGCTTAATGACCATATTAATATACCTTTTACAGTCACTGGTCATGACTTCTATGGAGTCCTGGAGGAGGTGAATAAGGTATTATCTCTAACCTCTTTCTGCTTCCTGTGGAGGAGAGGCTGGGCTTACACACACCCACAGAGCTGCAGTGGGCATCAGAAGAAGCATCAAAGAAATGTCTCTTAGTCTGAGGGATAGTGAGAACTTGTAACTCTGCCCATTTCCACACCTGGGACATGAGATTGGCTTTGTAAGAAGCAACCCTATGACAGATATTCCTCCCATCCCACCCACCCAATTAGCTTACCTGCTACTGGGTAAACCCTTAATGAGCAGTGTGCTTTAACTCAGTTAAACCAACATATTATTGCCATTTTTTTTGTGTGTCTGTGTGTACATGGATTCTATTTAAAACATTAACAGTGATAAACCAACCAGCTAACAATTTAAAAATTCTGTGAATGGACCCAGTGCAGGCAAATTGAAACCATGAAAGAGAGAGGAAAAATTATCATGATAGGAATGACTTTCACAGAGAGGTGGGAAGGCAATGCAAATCACTCAGTATAAAGGCACTAAGCACCTGTTAGGGGATGGGTGGGTGGAGCTGGGATGGAAAAGGAGAGTAACATGTGCCAACTCCATTTTATGAATAGCTGATAGCAAAATTCTCAATTGAGAAAAAGGCCAGATCCATTTTACTACTACCTTTTAGTAAAATACTCAATTCAGAAGAAGGCTAGAGCAGAGGCCATTAAGAGCTACAGAACTACAGACTGGCCATGGGGGCAGAAGACAGCTGCAAACCACATTGGGGAGGGACTTCAACAATGGAAATGAAGGGATAGAACTTGGCATTTAGTGTTTACTATGTGCTGATGAATATATATGTATATTCTATATCTATATATTACATCCTCATCAGCTTTCTATAAGTCAGGTATAACCACCCTTAATTTTCAATTGGAAAAACCAGACTTGGAGAGCTTACTAGTAATAACTTGTTAATGGTCACACAAGAAGCAAGAAGCACAGCTTCTTGTCATGTCATTTGTTGAATGTTCTCCTTATTTTTCATATGGCAACACCAACAGGAAAATAGACACAATCCAGGTAAAAAATAGATATCTTTAAATGCAGAAGGAAGGCAGAGAATTGCTCACTTCCTCCAAATGTTGAATGTTTAAACTGACTAGAACCCATCTCTCAGTTTCAACTACAAAGATAACATGTAGGAATTACATTAAAGAGTTTCTTTTGAGTTGTCCCCAAGAGCCCTCTCCCCCAAAATACATAATTTAAAAAAACATAATATTGCGCAAAATGTACTAGTCAAATAATTGGCTATAGTACAAGATATACACAGGAATAGGTTTTATGGGGCATAATTTTGCCAGCATTAAAGCTGGCAAACACTGCTTTCAAAAAGAACACTGTCCCACCTTCACCCCTAGGACTTAAATTATATAATGAAATGTGTGTGCCTTATATTAGAATGATTATACTTATGAAACTCCATGTATAGTAATATTTGCCTTATTTTTTATGAATTTGTAACATTTTTCCCAGGAAACTGCTTTCCATCTCTGGAAAGTATCACCTGATAGTGGAGAGGGCATATAATGAGAGAGGAACTATGGACTAAAGAAAATAAGGTGGGGATGATCAAGACTTTATCATCCTGTTACATCACTTCACAAAAGGGCATTGTGGTCGAAATGCCTTCTAACTGGTACATTATATTTGTAAGTTCAACAAGGTTGATATTTTCCAAGTAGTCAGTTACATGCAAGTGCAAATGGTGAATGGACTGAAAGGGTCAGTGATTACATCTGCTACCTACCTTGTGGTGTTTCACCTTCAAACCTAAGGTTGCCTCTTTATCTTGAAGAATAATATGATTTTTTGTCCTGCCAATCTCTGAATAAAATTACTTATACCAGAGGGGCAAAAAAGCAGTTCTCAATCTAATCTGTTTTGCAAATTTGACAGTGACATCAAAGAGCAGGAAGTTGTCTGTGAGTAATGACACTGCTCATTTGTTTAAATGTCAAACTTAACCGCATCAACTTTCAGAATATGTCAGTAAAGAATGAATTTCAGTTCAGCCAGAGAGGATTTCAGTGTCATTCAGTGCTGAACAAAATAGCTGTCAGTATCTTGAAAGCAGAGGGCTTTGATTAAAGCTTTCTTTGTAAGCTAAATGGAAATGGCCATTTCAGCACTTGGAGCTATGGACAGTACTCTCTTCCTTAGGTAATGAAACAAGTTGTCTTACTTCTTGAGATTAAAACATTCCCCAGATTAGCAAGCATGTGCCCCTAAACGATTCAATTAGGATATAAAGAGGATGCATCACAGATCTGTGCAAAGCCAGAATGAAATAACAGCAAAGAGGAGCAAATCTTATCACAGAGATTAAGCTTGAAATAAAATTAGAGAGGGGAAATATGATTTGTAGTTATCCCTTCAAGACATGTCAAAATTTTACTGCAATACAATAACATTTCCCTATAGATAGGTTTTTGTTGGAGAGAATAATAGAATAATAGAATTAACCCCCTGTGGTAATTTACTAGCATTGGACATAGGTGCAGAAGAGAATAGGAAGTATATTTAATAGACTTGCAGACAATCAGGAGTAAGGAATTCATTCTCTATATGCTTTCCAGCTCGATCTAGAGTGGAACATTCTTGAAGCATTCTGGATATGAGGTCAGAAAAAAATGGAATTGAATCTGCAGCATGTTCCTTAATGAGTAATTTCATTTCTCTAAGTCAAATTTCTTATGTCAAATATAGGCTACTTTGAGGTTTAAGTGAGAGAGTGTATATGAAGGGGTCTGGCACACATTAGGTCCTCAACAGATTTTCAATTGGGATTATTCACTTATTATTAAGTGTTGGCATAATGCAGTGCAGTGTTGCTATAGTGGTGGCCATGTGTCTGAATAGTTGTAACACTAAGGATGGATGACAAGAAGGAAAACAAGAAAGGCATTGTTATTAACAGATGGGTCCTGATAACAAAGGGCCCTAATCATGTGCATCTGCACCTTCACCCATCTTGTCGGCATCCCCAAAATATTCCCTTATGTTTATATTTTTAAAAACCAACAAAAGAAAAAAAAGTCTAAAATAATACAGGAAGAGCAAACTAAAGTTCTCAGAGGAGTCTTATTTCTCTTACCAAATACTAAGTCTACCAACTTTCTCCAGAACACCTCTCAGCCATATACTGCCAACGACTCTCACTACCTGCTACTTTGAGTGCCTCCTGGCACCTGGCGCACCTGGAGAGAGCAGGTAA